TCCACCAGGAAGCCCTCCTGCTTCACCCCTTCCCCTTCCTATTTCTTTCATAATAAGGCCGCTTTGCCTCGCTCCGGCTCCCATCTGTTTGCTAGTCTGACTTCTTCGCCCCCCCACCCCCGCAGGCAACAAGGGAGCGGTGGGGGTGTCCTTTATGTTCAACGGCACCTCCTTGGGGTTCGTCAACAGTCACTTGACTTCCGGAAGCGAAAAGAAACTCAGGTAATGGAGCTCTTTCCCCAAAGGGCCTGTGTGGGGTTTCTGCCCAGGTGGACCCCGTACCCCTAAACACCGACCGTAACTACTGCTCGGACCCGGCCGGGCCTGCTCTTTGGGGCCATTGCCTCAAAGAGGCAACACAATACGGCAGTGGCCACCGGTGTGGATGGATCTCATCAGGCAGCCCAGACGTTTCCTGGGTCATTGGCCTCACAGACACCCAAACGCCACCCCATTTCTAAGGGGGAGCCCGCCCCTTTCGGACCCAAGGCCACGTTCCTGATCGGTGGGCCGGCATGTAGGCCACGCGCTGTTCTGATTCCCCCGGAGAGGGCGCTCTCAGCCCGGTTCCACCGGAAAGGCCCCTTGCTTCCCACCTGGGCCCCACCTGCATGGAAGGCTGGAGGCGAAATCTCAGGTCCCCCCAAGCCCCCTTTGACGGCCTCCCATGATGCAGACGGAGGCAGCAACCTGAGCTAAGGTCGTTGCTTTTTCCCGAATCAGGCGAAACCAGAACTATATGAACATTCTCCGGTTTCTGGCTCTGGGAGATAAGAAACTGAGTCCCTTTAACATCACTCACCGGTTCACCCACCTCTTCTGGCTCGGTGACCTCAACTACCGTGTGGAGCTGCCCACCTGGGTGAGGAGGGGCCCAGGGGGCTGGAGACCCAAGGGTGGGGTCGTGGAGACAGACGGAGCAGGGCCCAGGCCACCGCCCGCTCTGGACTCCAGGCCGTTCCGGCTGCGGAGCTCCAGCCTCTGCTCACACCTCACCCCACGCACCTGTACTGGCCGCGCCCCACCGCACACACCATCACGGCTGCTTCAGCCCCCGACTGGCTATGCCCAGACCCGCAGGAGAGGCTGAGGCGACCAGCTCATCAGTTTTCTCCCCAAATTGCCAGTGACAGGCCAGCCTTAAGTCAGGTGTCCAGCACTGTCCAGTGAGCGGTGGTCAGAGGGGCCCCCAGGGCACAGCGGGCCTTGTCGCTCGGGAGGTGAAGGCCTCTCTGGGAAGGGGCTGTGGGCAGTCACAGTCACCGGCTTAGCACCAGGTGGGGTAGCTTCTGGCGCCCCTGAAGGGTGGGGTGAGGCCTGGCCAGGAGCAAAACGACATCAGGGACAGGGCCCCTGGGCCCTGGAGCCGCGGGCAGGTGGGTGTGGGTGCTCCTGCTGTCATGGCTACTGGCGGCTGGTGCTTTAGGAGGCGGAGGCCATCATCCAGAAGATCAAGCAGCAGCAGTACGCCGACCTCCTGGCCCACGACCAGCTGCTCATGGAGAGGCGGGAGCAGAAGGTCTTCGTGCACTTCGGTAAGACCAGCTGTGCCCCCTCTGCCCCCTCCAGTCCCGTCCCCCCTTCCCCCTGTTCGCGTCCCTCCCTGGGGAAGAGTCTGGAAGGGGGGCGTGGCTGGAGATGACCTATCTGGAATGGAAACCGAAACCGGGTTTCGTTTGGCCGCAGAGGAGGAAGAAATCACGTTCGCACCCACCTACCGATTTGAAAGGCTGACCCGGGACAAGTACGCCTACACCAAGCAGAAGGCCACCGGGGTGAGTCCGCGCCCCGCCCCCAGCGGCTGCCCACCCCGTGTCTGTGCCCGAGAGGCGGACAGGAAGGAAGAGCATCCTGGTCCACCGGCCTCAGGTCCCGTGTTGGTTTGCGCACAGAGCGAACCCTTCCCCGCGGAGAGGGGGCTGCGCTCAAGGGGGTGCGGGCCTGATGACTCGCCTCTGGCCACGGCCTGCGCCTTCCTCATCTGGGTGCTGAAGCTCATGCTCAAATTAAAACAAACAACCTCTGGCCAAAAGTGTTGGCCGCCCTGACAAGTGCCGGGCTCAAGTGCCTCAGGCCGCCGGGCTGAGCACGTGGGCCGCTGCGGGACCAGCAGGGCCTTGATGCGGGGGTGCGCACTGGGCTGCTCGCGAGGAGCATCGCGTGGGGGCCTCGCTGCCTCAGCGTACCTCTTGCAGAAGCTCACGTCCCAGGGAACGCGTCTGCAGAACACGGCAGAGGGCTTCTATTGGTTCTTCAACAAATATTTATTGGTGACCTAGCATGGGCCTGGCAAGCTCCCGATGATGGGGCCAACAAGGAGTGATTCCTCTGCCCCCCAGGAATTCATAGTAGGAAAGACCAGGCCAAGCAAAGATACAGCTGACGGAAGTCAGAGGTAGGCTGTGCCAGGGCCGAGTGCCCCATGGAGGAGCCAGGCAGGAGTGGGCATCAGGGCAGGCCAGGGTCCAGCAGGCTCCTCACAGCAGGGGCATTTGAGTGGCCTTGAAGGGCGGCTTAGGTTTCCACAAGTTGACGTGACCAGGGCTAAGGAGCGTGGACCCATTTCAGGTGAGAGACGCTGGCGCAGACGCTAAGAAGTGATGTTCTGGCACCTTCCAGGGCCCAGTCCCGGGAGGCCAACCGCATGGTGGGACCTGGGGCTGCAGGCGTGCTCAGTGTGGGGGTCTCTGGAAGCCCGGGGGGGTGGAGGCAGGACTAGGGAAATGCAAGGGCTTGAAGCCACCTGTGGGGACTCTCAGGAAAGTCTATAACCAGCCCCCAGCAGGCAAATTGAAGGACGGCAGAGGCCATGAGGTCATCTATTACTAATGTTTAAACAGACAAAAAAAGCAGACCTTTTGCAAAGCTTGTGGCTGTGATCCGCAGATGAAGTACAACCTGCCCTCCTGGTGTGACCGAGTCCTCTGGAAGTCCTACCCACTGGTGCACGTGGTCTGCCAGTCCTACGGTGAGTGCCCGTCGCCCCCGGGGCACCCCTGCAGCCTGAACGGGCACCCCGAAGAGCCACAGCCCTACTTTGGGAAACGTTTGAATTAGGGGGCCATTTTGCAAAGAAATCCCATTTTATTTCTTTTGAAAAGAGCATCTTAGAGTTGAGCCATAAGAAAGATATTGTTGTAAGTCAAAGTGATAAAACATTGGAAATTCTCATGGGGGAGAGCTCGAAGTAGGGGGGAGAACCGATGGACAGAGTTGGGGACCATGGGGAAGGGTGCCGGGCAAGGTGTGGTAACATACATCTGTAGAGGCGTGGGCCTGTGCCCCTGAAACTGAGTATAGTAAGCCACCATGACCTCAGTAAAGATACATGCATACATATCCTTCCCCCACAATTAATATTAGGCTTATATTATTTTTGAAAGTAATAGAAAAGAGGGCCCTTCCCGATGGCGCAAGTTAGCACACAGCACTGCAGGCTGCTGCAGCCGCTTCAGTGCGAGTTCGATCCCTAC